AAAAGGAATCAGTAATCGACAATTTTCAAGGACCAATAGATTTTAAGTTAACTAGTCTGATGCTCAAAATATGCAACAGATGGTATCGCATATTACTATACCAAAATTAATTGTTGATCATTGGATCTGCATGACTGCGGAGGAAGATTTTACCATGTGACTTACTTATCTGATTCATCAGATCAGTGCGCTGTAACAGTTATCTCCCTCCTAAAATCTTACTCTCCTATTTTTTTCTTCTAGTTAACTCTTTTAATCCCACCTTTTTTTCTTTGTTAATTTCTCTTATTTTTATCCCATCATCGAATTCTTCATTATCTTTATATGTCAAATAAACTTTTATTGCTGTTCTGCTGCGATGTCTTGGAATGTCTTTCTTTCCCTTTTTAAAATCTATTAATATTTTTCCCATTCTATAATACATCTCTTTACTTAGTCGTCCCCTTCCTTTTAGTTCTAACTCCATCTCTTTTCTTATTTCATCCCACATCTCCCTCCATTTCTTTTCCTCCTCTTTATCTTTTCTCTCCTTCCACTTTCTTCTAAATTTCTCAGCATGTTCTGAGCTGCTGAATGTTTTCTTAAGTTCTGTGGGCAGTTGTTCTTGGGATTTTCTTTCCTTTGGAGGCTTCATGGAGAGCTTCAATCCTGTGGATCTGGATTCTGTAGATTGTTTTCTTTTCTTGTCTTTTGATCCTGTGATGCGCCGCAATCGATGACGTATCCTCTCCTTATTTCTGCGCTTCTCCAGCGATGCCGCAGTCCAAATCAATCAGCGGTAACACTAGCGCAGCTGCGGATTTCAGTGTGGGTAGTACGGACCCTGTCGGAGGTACAAATAAATGTTAAGTAAAACGGTTAGTGAAAATTTCACTAACGGTGTAACGAACATTTCGGCACTGTAGTACGGTTAGTGAAGAGTCAGTGGAAAAGTCACTAACGGAAATATTCAGATGTATACAGCTCAATTATCAATAGAATATTAGAAGTAGCTGCTAAAAATAGCTCAATTAGACGATCGAAAGATATATAAGCAGCAGGAGTTTCAGCTAGAGTCGGTGTGTCATATGTGTCATATGTGTTATATGTGTTAGGTGTTAATAATATTCACGTTCGCTAGTGAATTTAGATCGATATACTGTATTCCTTATACTATTGTTAATAAACGAGTATCGCATTTACTCTGAACCTATACTTTTGACCCTATTCTCTAAATTAGTTGATATATTTGAGAAACCGTTTTATCCGTATATCAACCAAGGATAATTGCCTCTTGTCCCGCAATTATCTGAGTGGCGAAATAGGA